CAGCCTAATAGATGAAGGAGCGTAACTCCATGGAAGATACGGTACCATAAGATAAGAAGACACCAACAACGGTATCATATCTAGTAGGCTGCCATTGCAACCCCTTCCCACATCGGATACGTCGGTGTAGCTGTTAACCGGAAGTGGGTTTCGGCGCCTTATCACGCCGTTGATAAGGCGCCACTGCCCTGAAGCGTCACCTATCGTCTCAGTGGGCTAGAACCTCTACCCAATTCACTACGTAACTTTCCTTATCGTCCCCACAGGAATTATCGTGGCCATTTCCATCAAGCAACCCCTAATCGATTCTTACCTTCACTCCCAGCAGATACGCCGAATCATCTCGAATCCTGAACAGTGAACTCTGCTTGGCTGGACAGTAGTACGGGCGCTTTCATAGTCGATCGTCCTATCGTATCAGGGTCCGTTCCGGTAAGGGGCACTGTGCCGCACAGTCTGCTCTAATGCCAATTTGGCTCAAGGAGTCCTTTAATGTCAGGAGCGCCATCAGCTTTATTTCTACAATCTTTTTTTTCTGTTTTTACATAGTTTACGTGTTCGTGTTTCATGGATTAACGTTTATGCAAAGATTTGCCAAGTGAGTACTAATTATAACCCTTAGAACGGGGAACGAAGTCCTCCGGAGAAAACAAGGATTGCTCATGAACCCAGTGTTTTCCTTCCCTCCTAAAGTCAGGCCCGGCATCAGATACGTATCGATCGTCCAACGTCCGATACTCGACCGTTGCGATCGCTACGATCGGAGGGCGCACGCATAGTCGGTCGGACGACAGCAACGATCGTAACTGTCGCACAGCATTGGATGCGTATCGATCGTCGGACTTGCCTGAGTATTCGACGATTAGATGCAGTTAGACAGTCAGACAGTTGCGATCGTTGCTGTCGGACGACCGACTATGCGTGCGCCCTGGACGAGCGACTGTGAAAAGCCCCACACGCGCGACGATCGCCCGCCACCAAATTCTGCATTTGCGAAACATGTGTTTCGACGCCTAAATGTCATTAGTTTTGTCGAACTTCTTGGAATTGCTGGATATGTTTTAATGTCAGTGTTTTTTATCCCTTCCAAGTCCTTGTTAACTTGACCCTTCCACTTTTGGAGCAGCAATTTACGTGGTTCTCTGAAGAAGTGGCTTCACATGCTCCAGTCGTTCATCCAATTCTTTCTTGTTTTTAATAGGAGTGCGTCAAACTGGTCTAGCATGTAGTTCGTATACGATCATTTCCTAGTTTGATAACAGTTGCTCTTTTCCGAGACCTCTGACTTAATAGTAGCGTGAAAGAAGTGGCCTTCGCGACGTCGACATCGATCCATTCTTTCCTTTCCATCAATAATGGTTTAAGTGATTGCGTACATGCACCTAACCTTGGCTAATAAAGTTTTATTGGCATCTCTTGAGCAGGCATCACGCCGATTTTCACTTTCAGGGGGCTTTGTCGGCAAAAACCTGTTCAGATCTCCTCTCTGTCATCAGTTGCAATGGAGCGCAAGGTTTACGAATACCTGGTTTTCTCTCTCGTCTTTATCTCATCACCTCTGTCATCCCTGCCTCATTCTTGCGGTCTCGATTTTCTGCGAACCGCTGTTCTCACTACACTTTACAATGTTGGTAATCCGGTTCTGGTTGACAGTTATTTGTTATAGTTTTTTTTTTTGCTCTCTTTCCAAATGAATTTGGTTTTTGTCTTTGCAATGTGCCTTCAATGTCAAATACGGCGACACTGTGCTGTTGTATAAGGTAATGCTTCCTTCACAGTTTTTCGCTGACATTTGTCACATTGAATTTCTTTGTGGGCGGTTGGACGATTTATGTGCACTTACGGTTTTATAGTGGCAATATATACCAGGGCATGGCCTTGGTGTCTTCCCAATATTTTTTTTCATTTTTACAAATATACTCTTGAATATCTGGTCGGATTGCTAATTTGCTAAGTGTACTGAGCAATGCCTGTTTTTTTTTTACAATAATCTCAACGAAAACCTCTTCTTCTTTCATTTCATCTAAGTTTTCCTTATAGTATTGAATTGTATCGGGAGAGTATTCCTGTGCTGCGTGATGGAGACTACAGTAAACTGCAGTTGTTGTTGAGAATGAATCGATCATAACATTGTTGGTACGCTGCCATCGATTGTTATGAATGGAACAACTAGTGGATGCAAAATCGTTCTTGGACGACATTTTCATCCCTAATATTTCGTGTAGGCCTTCCTTTTAGCTTCCTTTGTTGCGTATTTCGCATGCAGAGCGCACCATGAAATTAAAATTCAACGTGCACCAGGCTTAAGTGGATCTTGTGATCGAAAGCCATTGATCATCAAGCATCTACTCTTATTCCTTTCAACACAGATTCCCTTCGATTGAATTGAACGCTGTGAAGGGACAGAATTACTGCATTAGACCGATGGGTTAAGTATATGTACACAGATTGTTGATGAAGGTGCCTCTAAACTCTCGTTGAAGAATACCCTCAGAATAAGAATACCCTGTTTGATGAACGATCAATCAACGTCTGTTATCATAACGCTTATCATTGCTTTATTTTAACATGGCGAACTTATCTTATCCATCTTTCTAGAAAGCATTACTCCATTTGTTTCAGTTCAACAGACAGCACCTCAACATATGGTCGACAAAGTACAGCGGAGCCATTAGAACGAAGCCTAGGGGAAAGCCCTCTTCTATTACGTGAGTTCCTGCTTATTCTGACTCTTTCTGCTCTTAATACTTTTCAAGAGTATAAGCTCGAAATCGCAGTCATGCACGATTCCGAAAAGACTTGTTAGGCCGCGTTCATAGTTCGCGACTCGGGAGATTAGGATAGTAGGCGATAGGATATTAGGATAGTAGTAGAGTAGGAGATTGCGCTGACAAGATTGGATACGTATCGATTGAAATCGCTGGAGAGTAGTAGATTGGGCGACTTCAAGCGAATAGATCAATACATATCTAATCTTGTCAGCGCACTATCCTAATCTACTACTATCCTAATCTCCTACTCTACTACTATCCTACTATCGTAATATCGCAATCTACTACTCTCCGGCGATTTCAATCGATACGTATCTAATCTTGTCAGCGCAATCTCCTACTCTACTACTATCCTAATCTACTACTATCCTAATCTCCCGTCAATACATATGTTTTTCATTGTCGCGTACTATCCTAATCTCCGGAGTCGCGAACTATGAACGCGGCCTTAGTGTTCTACCTTCAGATCTTGTGTATATTCATTTTATTCATACTGAATTTGCTCCCACCCCCAACTTGCTGAAACATTCCTTTCCTAGCGAAGCTCAAAAGAACACCACACGATTAGGTCATGTGGATCAATCTGTCCTGTGAGCAGGACCGGGTTGCTAGCGCAAAAAGGCACGACTGGCGCAAGGCTTTTACAAAGGGAGCTAATGGCAGTAAATGTGAGCTAATGGACGAGATACTTCACGCTCACCCCGTGACACGTGCTACGACGTAGCGGCTTGAGCACTTCAAGATAGAATATAAGATCGAAAGATAGCTGTTGATGCGGCTACGATCAAAGAAAACTCGTCTACGCACGCTCATTTCTCACCTTCATTATCGGTCGGTGTTACTTAACCAAATTGATTGCAGCTTGTTGCTTTAACGCTCTTGCTTTGCTCATTTCCACATGTGAAGTAACCACTTTTTGTAGGAGATGCGTACGCACGAAAAGCTCTTGTGTTTAGTGAAGGGTCTTACCACAATCTTTGACCTTAGTGTTGTTAGCGGCTGGTCCTCCTCTCTTTTTTCTCCCTACTCTGTCTCCAGCTGCCTCTGCAGCACTATGTGGAGCGGCCTAGTGTGCTCAATGGATTTTATGCGCAGCCGTTGGACGTAATGCCTTTGCGAAGTCTTGATGTCAAGACTGGGAGCTTTCCAGTCTTGTTAGCCGTCATTTCATTCCATAAGCCGCCTTTATTCAGGACCGCACAAACATGCCGACATACAAGCTGCAAACTAAATTAATATTTTATATTATAGGAGGATTATATGTATGCGTAACATGACTGTACTATAAGTGCATTACTCTATGTCTCAGTATTTGGTCCGTAATGCTCGTCCAATTGATATACTCTCTATGTCTCGACGGGTGGGTGATCCACTAGAATACCCTTTGGAAAATAGGTGAGTGCACAGCAATGTGCAAGATTTGCTTTAATCATATAGAACTCGTTCTCCATTCAGCTTGGAAGAGGCCGGACTGTGAAGTTCCTTCCTGCATTTATGGCTTAGTGTCTCACCCACATGGATGCGGTCTTAGTGTTGGGTTATAGGAATTGCAATTTGACATGAGGTGTTGCGTTTGAGTCACAATGTAGCGCGCTAAGAAGTCGCTATGTTTGAAGGTCAGGTGTATCACCGATCGCGTTTCGCGTTCAAATAAATCCGGTTCAAGCGTTAGCGTCTGGTCGGTGTGATTGGTAACCGCGGTATCACCTTTCCAGTGAGAATGGGATAATTTTCAGTAACATTGTCTAGTTAGCTGCAACAGTTTTTGAATAACAGATCGGGATGAATTCACTATGCTATTGATGTTTATTTGACAATTTCAGAAGAAATGTCGTCGTCGGAAAGTGTGCGTAACCGTAATACTGATGTTCGTCGCATTAACCTCTGTGGTAGCGGAGCAGTGCAAAAAACGAGATTTTGTTCCAATAGAATAAGGTTAGCTTGCTATATCATCCCGTTCTTTTCGTATCCTATAACCTGTATTTTTGTTTCAGTACTTGTAAATATAACGTCGCATCATTCCTCCCACGATTTCTTGTATGAACAATTTCGTCGCTATAATAATATATTCTTTTTAACGATAGCCTTACTTCAGGTGAGGATTCCATTTCAATTTGTGTGTTTTGTCCAAATCGTTTTCTCTAAAAATTATTAGTGCGACCGTTTTCATCGTTTCAGCAAATTCCTGATGTTAGCCCAACTGGACGGTACACAACAGCGGTGCCGTTCATGATAATTTTATCTGTTTCAGCAATTAAAGAAATTTTTGAAGATATTGTGAGTGTTGGCACTGTTTGCAGTTTTTCCTAATAAGTTCGTTGGGGCATGTCTTTGAGTTTTAGAAGAGGCGACGAGCTGATCATAAGGTTAATTCTTTTAAAACGTTGGTATTGGAAAACAACGCTTGGCAATCTACAAACTGGCGAGATGTACGTGAATGTTTTCATCTTTGGTTTGCTTTGATTTTTCTTCCCCATTTTTTGTTAGCTTTCCTCTTTTAAGGTCGAAGTGGGAGATCTAGTCCGGGTGGATAACGATCAGTTGTTTCCCGCCGATTTGCTATTGCTTTCTTCGAGTGAACCTCAGGGCATGTGTTATATAGAAACGTCCAACCTAGACGGAGAGAACAACCTCAAAATCAAACAGGTACACCTTATTAGCACCTCTTATACTTTTATTTTTCTTTACTTTCTACGTTTAATTCATTCACTTCAGGCACTACCGGTCCACTTCATCACTTGTCACATTGGATACGTTAACTGATTTTGAGGCGAAAGGTAGAGTGTGAACATCCTAGCCGCCATGTAACAGAATTCAGCGGTAATCTGATCATAGAGGAAGCTAAACCTTTTGGTGGGTTCACTTTGATGTGTTCACCGTTTCTGTTTCATTTATTGATTGATTGCTTTGATCATTTGACTGCTAAATGGATGCATCGTAACTCGCTTCTTCCCGTCCCTCACTGTTGATTAACTGATATCACTTCTTGTTGCCTGGCGCAGCGGCTCACCTTCATTTTGTCATTAGTAATCTTTCTTATGCGGATCCCTTGTCCTTTTTTCAACAGATGCCTCGTCCCGAATTCTGCCTAAATGTGGGGACGAATGCAGCAGTGACGGGTGGAGATGGGTCCGCAAAATTGTGTCTCTACTCCGGTCGATGAGGGTGCATTCATAGTCAGTCACGATCGTAACGATCGCACAGAAAGATGCGTATCGATCGTCACGCATGTCCGTGGATTATCGATTGATACGTATGGAACGCAGTGCGATCGTTAGGCCGATGTCAGACTTTGCGAATCGCGCAATTCGCGCGATTCGTAAAGTCTGACATCGGCCTTAGATGGCACGATCGGACGACTGACTGTGAATACGCCTTGACGCAATCCCTGTAGTGAAGAACCGGAAAGATTTGTCTAAGAGACCTACTCTTGGAGACCCATCCCCGGCTGGATTCTACTGCATGCGGTCCCTGTGTACTTCTTGGGACAAGCTGCGCGACCACTTTCCCTGCTAGCGAGAATGTGCTTGGTGCTGGATGAAACGTTGGTTGCTGCGGCAAAAATTTCTTAGGAACGTGTTGCTCTCTAAGCGCTGTCAGCTACACATCTCCGGTGATCTTTAGGGCTAGAATTGTCTCTATATTGCATCTTTCACGCTGGTGCATTTCAAGCATGCACCAAAGAGCACAGCTTCACCAAGGTGGTTTGAAGAAGCTGTTAATATGAAGGCACCTGGCGGCAATGAATTCACGCCATTCAAAGAATTTGATGGTCCTACATCACTTGATTTCCCCAACTTTTCAAGTGATAAATTCTCCATATTATGTCTAATGGACGGGAAGTCTTCAATAGGCAGCGTTCATGTGGTATAGAGGCGTCATCCGTCGTTCGAGAGCCTTCCGAGAACAGATGGAATTAGTCCTCTTTGTTTGGAAGCAATGTTATTGAATGAGTCGTCGTTCTTCCACGGAAAAGGTCTGGTGCATTCTTGCTGGAAGGACTTATCCTCGAAAAATTGACAGTAAAATTATAGGGCAGGGCATGATGGTCAAGGTCATCGTACTGTGAGCAGAACAGAACATGTCAGCAAGGCGAATCCAAAAATGGGATAGTGACTCGAAGCATGCTACAAGGGTCATGAAGACGGCTTTCTGACGTACATGCCATGTTTCCCGATTCGCGTTCGAATTCACAGAGCACGTATGGAAAGACTACTAGAGGCGTTAATAGAATAAGCTAGGGAGAAATATCAAGGATGAAGAATAGCCAGTAGAATACCACTGCATCAATTAATTCCCCGCCGGTTGACAACTGCCACTTTTTCGCGGCTGTCGTCAATTGTGGTGTGTGGTGTGCGCCGACGTCTTTCTGGTTTGTTGAAGGCGAGGGTATACATATGTGATTAAGGTGCTCTAAGCCCTCGTGTGAGAAATACACCTCAGAATCACGATACCCTGTTTGATGAACGATCAATCAACGTCTGTTATCATAACGCTTATCATTGCTTTATTTTAACATGGCGAACTTATCTTATCCATCTTTCTAGAAAGCATTACTCCATTTGTTTCAGTTCAACAGACAGCACCTCAACATATGGTCGACAAAGTACAGCGGAGCCATTAGAACGAAGCCTAGGGGAAAGCCCTCTTCTATTACGTGAGTTCCTGCTTATTCTGACTCTTTCTGCTCTTAATACTTTTCAAGAGTATAAGCTCGAAATCGCAGTCATACACGATTCCGAAAAGACTTGTAGGCCGCGTTCATAGTTCGCGACTCGGGAGATTAGGATAGTAGGCGATAGGATATTAGGATAGTAGTAGAGTAGGAGATTGCGCTGAAAGATTGATACGTATCGATTGAAATCGCTGGAGAGTAGTAGATTGGGCGAACGCCTATCCTACTATCACTATACTCTACTACTATCCTACTATCGTAATATCGCAATCTACTACTCTCCGGCGATTTCAATCGATACGTATCTAATCTTGTCAGCGCAATCTCCTACTCTACTACTATCCTAATCTACTACTATCCTAATCCCGTCAATACATATGTTTTTCATTGTCGCGTACTATCCTAATCTCCGGAGTCGCGAACTATGAACGCGGCCTTAGTGTTCTACTTCAGATCTTGTGTATATTCATTTTATTCATACTGAATTTGCTCCCACCCCCAACTTGCTGAAACATTCCTTTCAGCGAAGATTCAAAGATCACACACAGATCCTGGGTCATGTGGATCAATCTGTCCTGTGAGCAGGACCGGGTTGCCAGCGCAAAAAGGCACGACTGGTGCAAGACCTTTACAAAGGGAGCTAATGAGAGTAAATGTGAGCTAATGGACGAACGATATTCACGTTTACCCCGTGACACGTGCTACGACGTAGCGGCTTGAGCACTTCAAGATAGAATATAAGATCGAAAGATAGCTGTTGATGCGGCTACGATCAAAGAAAACTCGTCTACGCACGCTCATTTCTCACCTTCATTATCGGGCGGTGTTGAGCGTTCAACCATTTTTCGATTGCGGACTTGTCGCTTACCACGTCTCTTGCTTTTGCTCGATTTCCACAGTGTGGAAGTCACAACTTTTTTGTAGAGATGCATGGCCACGAATAAGACGTCTTGTGGTTTAGTGAAGGTCTTCCACATTCTGATAGAAGGGTTATGTTAGGCGGGCTGGTCCTCACTCCTTTTTCTCTCCCCTCCTCTGTCTCCAGCTTCCTTCTATGCAGCACTTATGAGTCGAGCGATTAGTGTGCTCAATGGATTTGGCAGCGTTGAGTATGCCTTTGCAAGTCTTGATGTCAAGACGGGAGCTTTCCAGTCTTGTTAGCCGTCATTTCATTCCATAAGCCGCCTTTATTCAGGAACCGCACAACATGCCGACATACAAGCTGCAAACCTAAATTAATATTTTATATTATAGGAGGCTTATATGTTTGCGTAACACGACTGTACTATAAGTGCATTACTCTATGTCTCAGTCATGTGCTTTGGGTCCGTAATGCTCGTCAGCAAACTTATAGCCTCCTTCATGTTCGACGGTGGTGAATTTCACATAGCATACCCTTGGAAACTAGGTAGTGACCACAGCAATTGCAAGAATGCTCACATCATATTGAATTCGTTCTCATCAGCTTAAAGAGACGGGAGTGGGTTTTGTAGTTCCTTCTGCATTTATGCTTAGTGTCTCCACCCCCACCATGTGATGCGTCTTATGTTGTTATATAGGAATTGCAATTTGACATGAGGTGTTGCTTTTGAGTTCACAATGTAGCGCGCTAAGAAGTCGCTATGTTTGAAGGTCAGGTGTATCACCGATCGTGTTTTCGCGTTCAAATAAATCCGGTTCAAGCGTTAGCGTCTGGTCGGTGTCATTGGTACACCGCGGTATCACCTTTCCAGTGAGAATGGGATAATTGTCAGTAACTTTGTGTGCGTTAGCTGCCAACAGTTTTTGAATAACAGATCGGGATGAATTCACTATGCTATTGATGTTTATTTGACAATTTCAGAAGAAATGTCGTCGTCGGAAAGTGTGCGTAACCGTAATACTGATGTTCGTCGCATTAACCTCTGTGGTAGCGGAGCAGTGCAAAAAACGAGATTTTGTTCCAATAGAATAAGGTTAGCTTGCTATATCATCCCGTTCTTTTCGTATCCTATAACCTGTATTTTTGTTTCAGTACTTGTAAATATAACGTCGCATCATTCCTCCCACGATTTCTGTATGAACAATTTCGTCGCTATAATAATATATTCTTTTTTAACGATAGCCTTACTTCAGGTGAGGGTTCCATTTCGATTTGTTTGTTTTGTCCAAATCGTTTTCTCTAAAAATTATTAGTGCGACCGTTTCATCGTTTCAGCAAATTCCTGATGTTAGCCCAACTGGACGGTACACAACAGCGGTGCCGTTCATGATAATTTTATCTGTTTCAGCAATTAAAGAAATTTTTGAAGATATTGTGAGTGTTGGCACTGTTTGCAGTTTTCCTAATAAGTTCGTGGGGCATGTCTTTGAGTTTTAGAAGAGGCGACGAGCTGATCATAAGGTTAATTCTTTTAAAACGTTGGTATTGGAAAACAACGCTTGGCAATCTACAAACTGGCGAGATGTACGTGAATGTTTTCATCTTCTCTTTGGTTTGCTTTGATTTTTCTTCCCCATTTTTTGTTAGCTTTCCTCTTTTAAGGTCGAAGTCGGAGATCTAGTCCGGGTGGATAACGATCAGTTGTTTCCGCGATTGCTATTGCTTTCTTCGAGTGAACCTCAGGGCATGTGTTATATAGAAACGTCCAACCTAGACGGAGAGACCAACCTCAAAATCAAACAGGTACAACTTATTAGCACCTCTTATACTTTTATTTTTCTTTACTTTCTACGTTTAATCATTCACTTCAGGCACTACCGGTCCACTTCATCACTTGTCACATTGGATACGTTAAGTGATTTCGAGGCGAAGGTAGAGTGTGAACATCCTAGCCGCCATGTAACAGAATTCAGCGGTAATCTGATCATAGAGGAAGCTAAACCTTTTGGTGGGTTCACTTTGATGTGTTCACCGTTTCTGTTTCATTTATTGATTGATTGCTTTGATCATTTGACTGCTAAATGGATGCATCGTAACTCGCTTCTTCCCGTCCCTCACTGTTGATTAACTGTTATAACTTCTTGTTGCCTGGCGCAGCGGCTCACCTTCATTTTGTCATTAGTAATCTTTCTTATGCGGATCCCTTGTCCTTTTTTTCAACAGATGCTACGTCGCGAATTCTCGCCTAATCGGGGACGAATGCAGCGCGTGACGGAGTTGGAGATGGGTTCGTAAAATTGTGTCTACTCCGGTCGATGAGGGTGCATTCATAGTCAGTCGTCGATCGTAACGATCGCACAGAACGATGCGTATCGATCGTCATGAAGACGGCTTTCTAACGTACATGCCATGTTTCCCGATTCGCGTTCGAATTCACAGAGCACGTATGTAAAGACTTCTAGAGGCGTTAATAGAATAAGCTAGGGAGAAATATCAAGAAGAACAAGGCTAAGCTTGTGAATGGATGAAAAGTTACGCTACTGATCAGATATCTCGCCCAATTGCGCTGCGCCGCTGCCAGCGAGAGCTACGGTTCGCTTTTTGAAATGGAACAATTCGCAATTTCGCTCTGCGCATTTTTTACCGCTTATGTGTTGAGTTCGGTAAAGTTCTGTTACAAGACGCAGCGGCGGAGAAATTAGTGAAAAATATTTGCCATGTCGGTGAGCTTACTATAAACTCATCCAGTTGGAAAACATTTGTCGAGAAGATGTGTAGTTTGTGCTATAAACAAAATGTCCATAAAGCTTAGGCCTGCATTTGGTCTGAGTTGAGGGAATGATTTCTACAGTGATTCAGCACATGATTTATTAGTTTTAAGGCATCGATCAGTTATTGCTTCGTGGTGCTCGGCTGAAAAATACACCATGGATCTTTGGTGCTGTCATATACACCGGCCATGATTCCAAACTTATGATGAACTCAAAGACGGCACCTTTGAAAAGGTTCGTTGTTCTTGAGTATTATGTTTTGTTGTTGGTTTACCTCCAGTTGTTTCTGTTTTCACCAATTTTGTTTCAGTGGAACAGTTGACAAGAAGACGAACACTCGCATCATTTTCCTGTTTTTAGTCTTGGTTGCATTAGCCATTATCAGCGCGATAGGTGCTGAGATTTGGCGAGGTAGTCATCTTCCACAGGCTTGGTATATTTCCTTTTTACGTAAGTTCTCATACCTTTATTTTTGATTTTCTTTTTGGATGGGACGTTGATTGCAGTAATGCTTTTCCAGAGAACGACAGTAGGACCTCTTTTCCATGGCATGTTTTGACGTTCTTTATCCTCTACAACAATTTGATTCCTATCAGTTTGCAAGTTACCCTGGAGATTGTGCGATTCTTCCAAGTTCGTTTGTTTTTCTTGCTTCTGAATGTTCGGCGTACTATGCTTCATCCTTTGCAGGCTGGCTACATCAATGCAGACCAAGAGATGTACGATGCCAATAGCGACTCATGCGCTATTGCTCGGACATCGAATCTGAACGAAGAGTTGGGACTGGTACGTAACTGCGTACCTCATTAAGTGTGGTTATATCCAGTGACATATTGGTTTCAACTCAGTCATATTATTACAGGTGAAGTACGTAATGAGTGATAAAACGGGTACGTTAACAAGAAATGTGATGAAGTTCAAACGAGTATCTGTTGCTGGGCGACTCTTCGGTGACAATGAAACTGATGAGTTTGACGACGACAGCCTCGTTGAGGAATACCGATATGCGCCTGTTAGTCAGAACTTTGATGTTGTTTTTCACTCATACAGTCATCATCATTTAGCTTACCAAGACTGGTTCTCAAATAAGAGAGCTGCTGACGATGATGGCCGTCTGTCATACGGTTGTGCCGGAGGACAAAGATGGAGAGGTGTGAAGATTATTCCATTTGCAGTTTCTCAACTACGGAGAGAGTGATTTTCATACTTTGATTGCATTTCAGTTGTCTTATCAATGTTCTTCTCCCGACGAGGGCGCATTGGTTCGTGGAGCGGCTGCGCAAGGATTTGTTTTTCATACAAGAAAACCAAAAAAAGTGGTACTTTCCAGTGGTAAGATTTACAGTTCTACGTTACTTTTTGATTACTTTCCATTGATCAAAGAAAGGTCGGCAGAGTTGTCATAGTATCAGAGTATCAAAACCACATGGTTGCTGTGATAGTTACTAGATCAAAGGTTGTGTCAAGCTGAAATGGAGTCGACTGGGTAAGTGGAAATCTCACGGCTCGTAGTGCAATCGAGGTTAACTGGACTTCAACTGATTCTTCGACATTTATCAGGTTTTTTTTTTGCGGAAGAGCTGAGGGGGTAGGGTAGAGCGATTCTCAACTGTGGGCATGTTTAGTCTCGTACGTCTAGTGATTTTTACTATTCAAATTTGCATGTTGCTAAGCTGTGGTTTTTTGATAAATGGCTCTCAAATTGAGTAGTATTGTATTTCTTAGGTTGAGCTATAATTATCCGCCTTTTTTCAAGCTCAGGCTCCTTAATTTTTTTTTTTGCTGATTATTACGAAGATTATGATGTAGTCTGAGAGCGCGGAATATCTCGTGCATTTTGGGATGGTAACACTTATGCAGTTGCTTCTTTCTGGGAGAGATTACACGTGAGCAAAAGATTGCTCATGACTACATGAGTGCAAGTTGAGCTCAAAACCGAATGCTCTGCATCTGCTCGTGGAATCATTGAAGCCTGGGATAAAGGCACGGTCACAGGGACGACTGCTTGAGAGACGTTTGTGATTATTGCGCTTTATTGTTGTTTCGTTGGTGCTTCTCAGTAACTGACGAGTACAAGGAAAGCGCGGACTAATTATTGCTCACCAATATTTAGTTATACTCCTCTGATAACCACAAATTTAAAAATAGTGGGTATTTTCTTGCTTAATTTGTTGCGGTCAAGAAATACATGTAGTGTTTCTCTTTTTGTAAGTTCTGCTGGTTTCCAAGGAAGCCTTCTTGCCGCTTCAGTGCATTGATTGCAATTTTACAGTTAGGCGAAGATGAAGCGTATGAAGTACTCGATGTGATCGACTTCACAAGTGACAGAAAGCGAATGAGTGTTGTTGTGCGGGATCCCTCAGGACGCATCAAGCTTTACACCAAAGGAGCGGTGAGACACTTCATCCCAGCATGACGTATAAAAGCTTAGATGTGCGTTCTTTACATCATTGTCATCTGTATAGGACACGGTCATTTTCGAACGGCTGGTTGACGGATCCGAGGCGGTTATCGATTCTTGCCATGCGCACCTCGAAGATTTTGCTTCCTATGGTTATCGAACACTTTGCTTCGCCATGCGAGAGATAAAAGAGGTATGAGTGAGCTGCATACTATAGCAGTCTAGAATGGGTATATTCATAACACCTTTCTTCAATTTGAAGGCCTACCTATTAACGATTTCGCCGTTGCGCTTTAAAGGTTAATACCACAGACTCGTAACGATAAAAAAAAACTGCAGCGTTATCGTGTTGGTAATTACTGGAGATACTGAACGATGAGTGTGCGAAGAAAGCTTTTTTGAGCATATCCATGTTTTCATCAATTCCCTTTACTCTTAGGATGGAAAGAAAGTCCTGCAACAGTTCCAATTTTGATTCTAATTATTTACTTTTTGTTGGCTATTTGTCAATTGTATCTACTGTGAGTGGGTCCATCACTTGTCGGGCCGTGCAGAATTCTCTCGATACTTTCCAACAGATGGGCCAGTGCTTTCGAAAAAGCAAGCGTTTGCTTTCGATTGCATTTTTCGTTTAACTATCATCATGCATATGATTGAAGGTCCGGAATGGGTGGTAATCATAAGTCTTGACCAGGGGAATACGTTAGATGAGGTCAAATCTCGTCGCAGTCCAAAAATTTTTAACAGGTTCATTTCGGATGTGGTGGTGTTTGGCAATGGCATGAGAATAGTCATTTTCGCCCGCGACTATATCTTTTTTGCTTCAAAATGACGTAGAGAACCCGCGAGCTACATTACCTCGACGTTTCATTAATGATGAAGTCTAGAGGGAATACGGCGTAGCCGAGGCAATCCAAAGCCGGTTTGGCGGGTACCAGCCTTCTTGACGAGCTGCCTCGGCTAGGTCTGGAGTTGTGTTTGCATCCATGATGGGGTTTAGCTATTTGATTCCAGAAGCTAATGCAATTGGAGGTCGTGTCGTATATGGCTTGCTCGCCGACACACATAACTGTGGAGTTTCAAACCATCATGACGCTTTATACGAGTAAAGGATGGATAGCGGATCAAGGATCTTCCTTCGAAACTAGCCTATCTCGCGTATGAGTAGTTAATGCTCCAGATTTGGCATAGCACTTCAAGGCTCGCCGCCGCGAGTCGTTCCTCGAGCAGACCGCACAGCACCACTCAGCACCGATGATGGTAGTGAACACTTCCGTATTTGTTCTGCTCGGGAGCGCCGCATGGTTGTGCTGCTGTACCGGGGCAGAGATCCTCGACCGCTGCCGGTGAGGAAGGGTGTGCTAGCAACGAATCGTCAGGAAGGCGCGCGGCCTGTGGTCGCCCGGACCAACGCTGCATGCTCGCAGAAATATGCTACGTGAGCCGCAGATTTGTCCATTCATTTGAATATTAAAAGAAATCAGGCTAGAACAGAGCTCTTCCTTCACCTGCTCTCTGTCTCTTCTTTCCACAGCTCTTAGCACACGATATAATTTGATCCAAACCAAAGTTAAACTTCGGTATAAAGGTAAAATTTATCCGATGATCCGAAGACTCTGAGAACGTCGGTTTCCGTTGTGTTGTGCTAGCTCTGTTGGATCCTATTTTGAGCGAAGTCGACGGAATTCCAAACGCGTCAACCTTGAGACCGTGACCTTCATTACGTAAAACAGTGTCATGTGTCTTTGTTCTGTCTGTGTTGTTATTTGATGAGGATTGTGTGATGACTGCGATCTGTGTTTATATTGTTGAGTTATCTTCGGTGGTAGACTTCATTATACGTAAAGTTTTAGTACCAGATATTATATTAGGTGAGTCACGAAAAGAAAGAATTAATTTTCAATGGAGTTACTCCCTTTCATATGCTATGCTTTTATTGTTCCCTCTGCTCACCATGTATAATACATGCGATACCTGAAACACATCCCATTCGCCAAGACACTATCGCCTATCCTGTATGCATATACCTTCAGTGACCTCAGCGTTGCTTTTGATAAAAAATTTGACTCATTAGCTCCTAATGTGGGACCAACCTTCGGTCACAATCGACACAAGTTCATTGTTGCTGGCCCGAAGAAGTGGCCGATTACGGGCCGCGCAAGTGGCTCGGGCCAGAAGCGTCTCACGCTCTTCACGCCTGTCGATTCTTGGTATGCTCGTCGACCTTCTCCTGCCTATAGAATACGGAGGAAATTTTAGCCATATTACTAGCCCTGCTGCTTGTTTAAGTGGTTGTGCGCCTGGATGATCAGACCAGTCTGCGTTGCATTGCCGGCCGTCGGGAATTCAGGAAAGTCAAAAATGAAACTCCAATTTTTTGGCAGGCGATATTCCCCGCTTCTGTGTCTTTGCACGGGTGTACCTTTTTCGGCCGAGGAAGTACGTGGCGAGGTGTCCCACTCCATAACAAATCGGCTCTCGAGATCGCGGACGAGGGGCGCCGATCACGGCCCGAATTGATTTGTCGCACAGGAGCGCGCCCTCACGATCGAAGGCACATATCACGCCGCCACGTACCGCCTTTTACGCCCCATCGCCCCCCTGCAAAACATTCATCGCTTTGCACCACCCTCCCCCCCCCCGCCCCCCCCCCCCCCCCCCCCCCCCTTCAACGTATCGATTGGAAGCGATTGGTCATCGGGTGCGGATCATGTCAATTCGCGCGGATCGTCAGCGCGCAACTCGCCGGGGTCACATAATTGGGTATACGCAAGGAAAAAGCCTTTCAATGAAAAATAGTTTTCCTAAACGCATTGAACTCGAAAATCTTTTGCCGAGGAAATGCACTATATCAGCGCTCCAATCGCCAGTGGACGTTGATTCGTAGACATAGGGTCGTTGAGCATGGTGAGTAGTTAAATGAGACACTACAAAGTCTTGTTAGCTGCACTTAGACGATAATTCCGAATAATCGTAAGGAGTTACCGGAATACGAACTCTGCTTTTAATACGCCATTGTAGGGTAGTATTAGAAAATGCAAGACATACACTAGCGTCTACCAAGTTGCAGAAAGACATTCCCGCTTTATCTGCTATGGATATAAATAATGAGGACAAGAGTAGATACCGCTCTGCCAACAATGTATAGTGTAGCGCAGCGGATTTCTATTAGAGTCGAGTTTTAGGTAGATGCGTGCAACTAGCCGCACCATGTCATGTAATGTTGAGAACCCTTATGGCCTTGCTTGAGTGTGAGTACCAACACTCGCTCTCCAATCGTTGATCAACAATGCCGCAATGTTGGTTTTATGTAGCGTCACGAATGTGTCCATCCTGAAATTAATAAATTTCAAAGGTTACTTGAAGATTGAAAAGAAAAAAATTGGTATTGTCAGGCATATTTTTGACCTATTATTAGCGAGATTTCATCGATAACAGCATTTTGCTAGAGAAGTCATTTTAACCTCCAGTATCTTGGGTAGTACCGTAATGATTTAAGATGTACAGCAAATAATTGCAGCTCATTCATGTGCGTTGTGTCATCAAAATACTGAGCTGTTAATAGTGGACAAAGATACGTATGAGGATACCTACACAAAACTGGTACAATTGGTCAACCGCTCAAAACAGCTTATCAAAGAGGAGAAGTATGTCATTCCTTCCATGACTGTCGTATTAGCTTAATCTAGCTAGAGTTATGTTTTTCAAGGGAATTCGCTATGATAATCGACGGAAAGTCACTTGTTCATGCGTTGGTTAGTGAGTGTCGGACGTATTTTGGTGAGCTGGCGTTGAAATGTCGAGCTGTTGTCTGTTGTCGAATGAGTCCAATGCAGAAGGCTGAGGTACGTCGGGGTCTATGTTAGGCGATAATGATTTCAATCAAAGAAACTGCCTGCAAAAACGATTAAAAGCCGTGAAAAGTCTAGTTAGCAAATGTTCGGATGTGTCGTTAATCTTCTTAGTATTTCTACTCGAAATTCGTTCTTCACACCGTTCTTACAAGTCTGCGTTTCTGTTAAACGAGTCCATCTGGCGTAGCACTGAGAGCCGAGATTTTACTAATAATTTGTTTCCTTTAAGGTGGTCGAGATGGTGCGTGGCCTTGGGAATCATGTTGTTATGGCTGTTGGTGATGGCGCTAATGACGTTGCAATGATTCAGGTAAGCCATACTTTCTAACAGTCCTTTTAGTATCTTGTTATCTTCTACCTTATGTAGGCAGCCAATGTTGGCATCGGAATTTCTGGAGAAGAGGGCTTACAAGCCGCATCAGCCTCTGACTATGCCATTCCAAGGTTCCACTTCTTAAGGCGGTTATTATTAGTGAGTATTGGTGTTACTACTTTTCATGTGCATAGTTTCTCGTTGTCGAATCTTGTTCTTGAGGTCCATGGTGCTTGGAATCACGATCGTTCCGTCAAAGTTATTTTATACAGTTTCTACAAAAATATATGTCTTTACATAATTGAATTATGGTAAGTTTCGATCTCTTTTAGTTTGTCTCGCCACAAGCTTTTTTTGTTTAGCGAAGGCTATGAATTCACTTTCAATCAAGCTGACAAATAGACATTTGAGCAGTAGTTGGCGCTGCACTAGATTCCGCTGTGGTCGAAAAGTGTAGGTTCACACTATCATCTCTCTCCGATATTTCTGGGAAGCAAATTTACTCATTTCGCTCCAATTTACCAGCGATACTTTGTGGGAGCGTGTTATATAACTTGAGTATACGCGAAAATAAAGGAAACCCAGGCTTTTATTCAATTTCTTCGAAAACATGGCGTTACAAAAGCATAGCTTCGCTTGGCTTTTCTGCTGTGTGTTCCTCATTGGATAAGTTGTAAAGATGACTTGATACTGCTTCCCCTCCTCTGTGTTCTGCAGAGGTGTAAATTAACACAATTATTGGAGTAAAAAAGTGTAAAATCAGGCTTACAGTGATGTTGCAGTGCTAGTATTGTAATATGCCGCCTACGAGGTCGTCCTAGTAACACTACCTTAGCAAATCCGTTCATGGCTGAGATGCGCGGCTTTCTTCCCCGAACTGTGCTTAAAACTTGTTGCGCTATCGGTCCAGTCCAGATTAGGTTTATTTTCATAAAAAAGACTATACCGCTGTAACGCTTTGTATTACGTAAAGAGATGATCATTGCAAACCACATCAACCCAGCCAATGTACTCCTCTCAAAACAATTTATGGTATGGTCCCTTGTGCATGCATGATACTTAATGAGTAATCAGTAATCAGTATTCTTCGAGCAATGTAGACAGATGATTCAAAAAGAAAGCGGCCAAAAGAGCTGTTCTACACATGGCCAAAAGAGCTTCTCGACACATCATGTACCAGTTCCTTGCTTAGTCGTTGCACACCCTTAGTGCAGGTGAACGCAGCATTATGAATTCGGCCCCTCTGCCTCTCAAAAAATTTCCCCTATATTCTGACTCCCGTATTCGCGTCGCAGGACTCTATATTGTAGCAGATCTTCTTGGTCATGTTTCGTGCAGTTTCAAATTTCAGCGAGATACGAGATAATTGTCGCAAGTGCCTCATCAGTGGCGTGCTTTGAGAAGAAGAATTAGCCTTCTCATCTCACTAAACTCAAATTCAATCGAGAACCTCTGGGTCATCCTCGCTCAGGCTTTTAAACCACTGCGGACAGTTCAACAGAGTGGAACAACTCAATAATTCCATCCAAGAGGTTTGAGAGAGGATACCCCTTCATACAATCTCCTAACTTGTCTTGAGCATCCCAAAACGGATGTGAAACTACTCAAAGGATGGGAAATTTGCTAGTCTACAACTGTCATTGTTGTCGTAAATTTTGTCAAGTATATCGTTAAGAAAGTCTGAATACCGGGGTGAACCTATACTTCTGGGACACCATGTTCTAGAAGAAAAATATTGCAAAAAATGTGTTTGCTATTCTTTTTGAACTTACCCATACTTGATCAACACTGCTCCCTTTAGGCATCGCTGGTAAAAATTTGGAACGTAGTCTTTCATTTGTTCTTGAAATATCGATGACAAAGAGGGGGAACCTAAACTTGAGACACATTGTATAGAAACTATAACAGTATTGAATAATGGTCAAATCCATGGGGCTTTATGTATTTTGGTGACATTCTTTTCCACAGCGAAACTCAAAAAAAATCGTGCTCGATTACTACCGGCCCTCAGTCTACCTGACCGAACTTAAGCGCACAAAAATTATTCTTCGTATCTCCGAAATTTAGGTTCGCGATTTTTT